TTGATTCATGGACTCTTAAAGTGATTGTCCGATTCTTCAACTTTACAAAATAGTTCATTCTAGATCCAATCATGGACCTAAATTAATACCTTGATTGAACCACTTGGAAAATTAGAGAATCCAGATAATTATTTTGAAAGTTTATGAACCTAAATGAAAATATGAAAAAATAGAGCCCCATGGTGCATTTTACTCCCATTATATTTGATGTTGGTTAGCTCAATTTTACTGCGGTTCCAAAAAAAAAAAGCTGGTTATTGCTTGGTAAAAAAATGTTGAATCGATTTTGTTTTTCTTTAAACTGAATCCTAGTGTTATTTGTCATCGATGCTAGTGTTTCAAAGAGATTATTAGTTACTTCATTTTTTCCTTTTGTTTAAGGAAAAAGTCATGATATAGATTTGGTACATTTCACATGAAGAAATTGCTGGTCCTTGTCGTTGGGCGTCGGCAATTTGAACCATGTAGCTGACCATTAATGTTAAGTTTCTCATTACTCTAGACAGTAATTTTAGGAAGGTCGAGGGGCTTCCCAGCATCTTCCCTTCCCAAACGAGAAAAACAAGAGACAAGAGAGTGCGAGCCCACCACCTCTCCTTCTCTCTCCTGTTTCTCTCTCTACGCTCCTCGTCGCGTGCGCACGTCTCCCACGCCTGCCTCTGCCTCCCTCCCCCTCCAGATCCGGTCCGCCCCGCCGCCGCCGATGTCCGAAGATCCCGCGGGATCCCGCCGCTGGCGGTGCGACCTCGGCGGCGACGAGCGCTGGCTCTCTGGGGCCGCCGGCGACGACCACTTCGACCGCCTCCCCGACGCGCTCCTCCTCGTCATCTTCAACCGCATCGGCGACGTCAAGGCGCTCGGCCGCTGCTCCCTCGTCTCCCGCCGCTTCCACGAGCTCGTGCCCCTCGTCGACTCCGTCCTCGTCCGCGTCGACTGCGTCATCCCGGACGAGCCCCCCTCCTCGTCGTCTTCCCCGTCGGCGCCGTCCTCTCCTACGGCGTCCGTGCGCGCCCGCGGGGTCTTCTCACAGATCGCGCGCATCGTGCTCGGCGGCATCGTGAAGCCCATCCAGGCGCTCGGTCAGATCCTCTCCCCCGCCAACTCCGCCTCCGGCTTTCCGGCATCCTCCGCTTCCTCGCCATCGTCGTCGTCGTCCTCCTCGCCACTGCCTCCTGGGGACGTGTCCCACCACTCGCCCTCGGAGGTGCTCCGCTCCTTCAAGGAGCTCCGCCACCTTCGCATCGAGCTCCCGGCGGGCGAGCTCGGCATGGACGACGGCGTGATGCTTAAGTGGAAGGCTGACTTCGGGTCCACACTGGGCAGCTGCGTCATCCTTGGAGCATCCTCGGCTTCGGCCTCGTCCTCGCCCTCCTCTGCTGGCTCAGCTAGCGCGAGCACTGCTCCCACTGTTGACAATGACCGCACCGAGCCTGATGAATGTGACGATTCAGGAAGCATCCCTGAGTCGTTCTACACAAACGGGGGGTTTAAGCTGCGGGTGGTTTGGACAATCAGCTCATTGATTGCGGCTGCCGCGAGGCATTACTTGCTGCAGCCGATCATTGCTGATCACAGGATGCTCGAGAGCTTGGACCTGACAGATGCTGATGGCCAGGGAGTGCTCACCATGGACAAGTGCCAACTGCAGGAGCTGAGGGTGAGGCCGGTATCAACATCTAGGGGCTCACACCGGACGCTCATGCCAGAGCTTAGCATGTGGCTGTGGTACGCACCATGTATTGAGCTGCCTGGGGGGTTGGTGCTGAATGGCGCAACGCTGGTGGCCATCAAGCCAAGTGAGGAAGGAACAGGGAACACAGTTTGGAACGGGGCTGCTGGTGCAGCCTGGGTGTTGGATGCATTCGAGGAGCCATATAGGACAGCGGTGAGGATGCTTCTCAAGCAGAGGACCTACAGCCTTGAGATGAATTCATTCTAATCTATGGGGAGATGGCATTTTGGAAGCTTCAGATGTGAGAGGTACACAATAGTTATCTGATTTTTGTTTGTAATTTCTGTTTGGTAGATCAAGTTTTAGTTCTCTTGCATAATTGTGAAATACTGAAATAATACAACCAGGTCACCTCGACACATTTTTGTTAACAGCATGAATCAAAATATCTTGGTTGAATTTGTGTGCCTATTTAACTTTAGCTTGTGTTGCATCTTAGAAGTACCCAAAATTCTGTTTTAGACTTTTAGTTCATTCCGGTGGAACAAGTTTTGGGCAGTCAGGATCAGTATTAGGTGGAAACCTGTGTCCTTTTTTTTGCCGAGCTGCGCACCCTGCACCCATGTTGATTCCAAGTGCTATTTGGTGTCCTAAAATTTTTTCCCACACATCAGCTGCTGTATGGCGGACTGAAGCTTATTGTAAAGGCCATATAGCAAAACAAAAGCACAGAAGACAGAAGGACCTGGGCTGCAAAACTAAAAGACATGACTAGCTAGTTTGCACAGATCATCTAAACACTGGCTCCTTATGACAGTTTTTATTGCTTCGTTGGTAGCTTTGTGCTAATACGGTAATACCCTGCTTATTGACCTAAAAAAAATTAGACCATAGGAGAAGACCCCCTATGCCTTTGAAATAAGGTGCCAGGCTTCGAACCCGGGTCGGACGGGAGAGTCCTGGAGCTCCCTGCTCATTGACCTTGCCATATCCAAATGCTGTGAGTGCGTGTATTTTCTGTGATCTTACCAGAGTTACCGCAAATCAACCTTGTTTAGCCAACAGGGATCTTTGCCTTTCTTGGTGATTTGATTTTGTTCCATATTTGTTTTTTTCAGAGTATAGATTACTACAACTTCATGTTGGTTACTTGTATTAGTCTGCTCCTGGTTCTGCCACTGTACTGGCTACGACTGCTAAGTATAGTATTCTGCTTGCTCATTTTACACAACCGACATGTCTTGATTGGTTATTGCTATGCAATGGCACTTCATCATTCTGAGTCCTCTTTTGAAAGTCTTCCAAGCTTTGAGGATGCACCATTATACCTCATCCCAACAGAATCATAGCAAACTCTTGGATGCCTTAGCCAGTAGTTCAGAAGTAACTAATGGTAGATTACTCTATAATTGACAATGATTCTTTTTTTCCTTTTGGTATAAGAGTAGCCTTGTGTTCATTGAGAAGCAAACAGGTGTAGCGGACTAAGTTTAATTACTTCCCCAAATCCATTGATAGTTGCTACAGAAGCATGTGGCTGTGTTTGGATTGGGCTGTCACACTCGCTTGGCTAATCTGTGGAATTCAGCTGTGTTTACACATGCACATGATTATAACTGATAAGAGATTCTTCAAGGATTACCATACCATTACTGGTTTCAGATTTATCCAGTTAACAGGGAAAATATTAAGGACACTTGAAGCTTGTGAAATTCAAATCAGCTGGAAAGGATATAGTGTTTCCATGTCATTCCATCATGTGGATCTTCAGTAGGGTCTGGTTGTCCCATTAGTCGACACAATTTTGTTGTAATTAAGTGCTTAGCTACTTTCTGGAGATTTTCCTGATCAATTTGAGAAACCCTTTGCCCCATGACTTAGTTCTCATTGCACGCTGCATGTCACTCACCAAACTTCATTAGATTTTCTCTGAGACCTTCTGTTTTGTGTCATAGTGATAGGAAATTTTCTTTGCAATGGAAGAGAAGGTTAGGAAGGGCCCACCTGAATTTAGGGTTAATCAGTTACTTCATGGGTAGAAGGGCGGGCCTGGTGCAAGCGGTAGAGTCTTACCGCTTGTGACCGGAAGGTCCCGGGTTCGAGTCGTGGTCTCCTCGCATTGCACAGGCGAGGGTAAGGCTTGCCATTGACACCCTTCCCCAGACCTTGAACAGAGCGGGAGCTCTCTGCACTGGGTACGCCCAGTTACTTCATGGGTCCTAGCAAACTTTGGAGCCCTCCTGAGTATTTTCCCAAGTTGATCTTATAGTTTTTATGTTTAAATTTTATTAAGTTTACTTCATTTATTGTTCATTGCCATGTTAACTCGCAAACATATGCATGGCATAAGCCAAACAAAAGCAAGAATGGATGTATGCTATGCTTCTATTTTGCCTATTGGATTTAGTAGGTCAACAATTGTTCCAACAACGTAAGTAGTCATTATATTTGACGTGGAGTTTTTAGCAAGCAGTATTCAAGTCCGGAAGCCCTTAACCCCCCAGTGAAATTAACACTTCTGGCCTGCTACTTAAATCTTCTTATTTTCTTTTGCCAGGATGTTATAACTACTGATGTGGAGAAGGTTCTGGATGCCTTTTATGCACCAATCTGCGCCTACTTTGGATGTGCCAAGTATGTGCTATTGTGTGCCTTTTCTTGTTGAGCATCTGTCAGCAAGAACATGGATGAAATCAAACAGAAAATGTGTTAATTTATGATGCTGGAGTTGAAAGGCAAAGCCATAGTTGAGTTGACGGTGTTCTCTGAGATCAGATGTGGCATAGATAGTTTTTTTTTATATATGTATCCACATCAAGGTACTAACCTTATGTAATTTCTACTTTTGGATTGTGGCATTGCATTGTGCTACTTGTTTGCAGAATAGCATCCAATGTGCTCTGTATATCAATGTTTGTCAAGAGTGGACTCGTAGATTTGGCGTGAGCGAAAGCTATAAAATTGTTACTGGTACTTCAAACGGGTTTGGAAATGTTGTATCCTTCTACCGTGAATCTGGAAATGTTGTAGGCCTATATCATGTGTCTGTAAGTCCTCAGTATGTTTTTTTTTTTCAAACCGTCCCCCATTTCCATTAAGATTCAACGGAAATACAGAGTTTTGTAGACTGTTTCAGACAAAAGGGAAAAAGGCATGCCAGACTTAGCAAACTTACGACGCTAGCCTTAACGTCCCCAGCTCATAGAGCAATACATGCCAAAAGACGATACAGTGATAATCAGACCAACAGGCCAGGCTCAACACAAAGCTGGCAAATCTTACAGAAACAGCCAGAAGAAAGGTCCCAGAAACTGAAATTGGATGGCCCCTACTCTTTTTCCTCTTCATTCCTGTGCATTGTCATCGGGTTTGTCCTCCAGGAGCAGTCCTCCAGTATGTTATGTGGACGGTCGAGAATGCTGCATCAATTTTAGCGTTGTTATCAGAAAGTGAAGTTCAGATTAGGTTCAGACTTCAGTTGCGCACACAAATGAATGTATGGATCATGGATGATGAACGTGGAGAAATGAGCATCTTTCCTACAGCTAGGTAATAGTTGGATGATGGAGATTCATGTGGAGAAATGAGAAGCGGTAATGGCTAGCAGTGGCGGATGCAGAACAGGATTGAAGGGGGGCTGATCTCTTCTTCTTCCTCTCTCTCTCCATTTTTCTTTTTTCCTCCACCTCTTCTTCTCCCTCACCCTCCCCATATTTCCATTGATGCACCAGCTGTAGGGGGGGCTGGAGCCCCCCTTAAGATCCGCCCCTGATGGTTAGAGAGAGAGATTCATGTGGGGAAACGAGCTAGAATCGATTCATATTGATCCACGCCACAGGCCGGTTGATCAGCACCTTAGAAACTCGCTACCTTTGCTCGTTCAGGATTTTTTTTAAAGAAATGGTGGTCTGACGCCCTACTCACTGGCTCTGATTTTTTTCCCCAAAGCTTTTCTTGCGCAGCTTGTTTTAAATCTGAAATCTTGCGTGGCGTGGTGCTTGGTATATCGTGTAGCGAACTTCTCCATGGTAGTACGATCATAGGGAATGGTCAGGTATTTGAAAGTTTTTGAAACACCGACCCACCCCACTCCAACCTGAAATTCTGTGTTGTTTTCAGTACGCAATCTGGGCAACTCCATGAATCGTTAACGTCAATGCTGGCTTCACGACGAACAATGCGACACCTTGACACCTTACTGTCTAAAGGCTGAAATGAACTACTCCTGAATGGACAGATCAACAGGAAATGAAACCAGCAAGGGAGAATCGGCAGATGAGTCCGCCAGTCATGAGCACACACGTCATTCATCTCCGAGCTCCCTGTTGTGCACGACAGCACGAGCACAAGTGGAAGAATGCCGGCTTGGAGACGCGGTTTCGAAGCTACCTGATTCAGTGTCTGAATCCTTAATGCACCTTGGAGACAGAGGAAGTGAAGGATGAACATGTGTGAGACGCGGTTTCGAGGCTACCTGATCAGTGTCTGAATCCTGAACACACGTTGGGGCCGGATGAAATGAAAGATGGACATGTGTTGCAAAATACAGGCAGTATTGGACGAAGTGAAAGATGAACAGTGTTGGACGAAGTGAAAGATGAACATGTGTTGCGAAATGCGAGCAGTGTTGGTTGGGTGTATGGAGGTGAATGGGATGGACCATCCTGGATGGAAAGAGCCGAAGAGGATGGCATACTGGTTGAGAAGAGGATGGACAGGACAAATCTGGGGTGAGATGCTATAGGTTGATTGTTTGGTTACCTGACGATTCATAATTTTTGGATAGTTTTTGGGTGAGATGGTACAGGTTGATTATTTGGTTACCTGACGATACATGATTTTTGTTTAGATGGCTGTATGGTATGGTATGAGTTGGTACAATGATTTTTGTTTAGATGGCTGTATGGTAAGGTATGAGTCAGTACAAATCATGGTTGGTTGGTTATATAGGTCCATTCACACATTTGGGGAAAAATTGTTGTTTGAAAACAATAACAATCGATAATGAAGAATAAATGTAAGCAAGGCAATTCACCACTGATCTACATTATGTTATATTAAAAGGTCCCTGCTATAATCACATTCCATACTGCCATACAGCAAAAGAGTACTCTGTAGGCTATCCAGGTTGTTCCATACAGACTAGAGTTACACTACCACCCTCCATACGACCAAAACCATCACATCGCACAAAGTTTTTTTTTCCCATCCCTAGTGATTAGACCAAAATACCACCACATCATCAGAGTACTTATATTAGTTCGGACCTGTGATTCTTGATGTACCTAGCCACCCATATAACTTTGCTAGAAAGTTGAGGCAGTGCATAAAATGCCCTTGCAAGTGGAGGATTCTCACACAGATAAGCATAGTAGTGCTCAAGATGTGCCTCCTCAAACCCTGGGATGCTCTTTAGCTCTTCATACAACCCCTTTGGAACAGGAAGGTCAGGTTGTTCAGAAAGCTTTTTTATAGACGAAGCAAGTTCGCCAAGGGTCCGACTCATTATCACAACCAAGTCATCATCAGTATATATCCTCTGCTTCTTTGATGGTGGCTGTTTAGTACCTGAGGACTCTGCACCATTGTTGCCTGAGTTTGTTCCGTCATCAACACCAATTTGTTCACTTGGCTCACTAGACGTGGGTTTTGGTGCATTATCTGTTCCAGTCACAGTTGGTGCATTATCTGTTCCAGTCACAGTTGGTGCATTATCTGTTTCAGTCACAATTGGTGCATTATCTGTTTCAGCCACTTCAACACCAAGTGGCTCATTTGATCCTTTAGCATATGCACCGGTTTCAGCCACAGTTGGTGCACTATATGTTTCAGTCACTTCAACACCAAGTGGCTCATTTGACCCTTTAGCATATGCAGCGGCTGCCAAATTTTTGCCACATATGGTGGCCATCTCATGATAATGCTCAATCGGAATGTTCAAGTAGTTGGCATCTTCACGGTGGTCCTACAAGTCAAAACCCATATCATGGTAGGAATAATATATGCTGCACCTAAAATTGCAACAATCAAACTATAAGAAGATACTGATTACTTGCCTTAATATGATTATTGTAATGCTCTGCATCAAGACTGATTATGCAATTATGTTCATCCCAAACAGCTCCATTCAAGTTCTTCAGCTTCTCAATCTTTGCATAAATCCTTTTCCACTTCCTAAGATGGTTACCAACTTGTCCACCGGTGTGCTGGACACCCAGCTTCTCATACAAAGCTCTAGCACAACTGTTAAGATGAGCTTGCTTGAAGCCACTCGTGGTTTTAGTTCCACTCGCAACTAGGTCAGCCAAATATTTGAGTACAAAACTAGACATTGCGTTGGACCAATAGACCTGTCCAGCTCCACCCTTGCCTGCCATGTTGTCCCCATGTTGCTCTAGGTCCATCTCCTGTGAAGTTGTAAAAAATGACAATGAGCACCAAGATAAATTGTTACAAAGACTCAATAGGAAAAAAAATGCAGGGATGCAGTAAATAAGAGAAAAGCACACACATTAATTAATACAAAAAGCCCAAGGTCCGATTACTGCAATGGCAATACTGAAGATTTGTTCACAACATCAGTAGTACATCGCATTAAGAAAACAAGCAGGACAAGGTCCATGTCGTTACTAGTTCACTATTACATAAAGCACTACATATTAGTATTTAGTTGTCACGGTGATTTTAACGATCTGCCCACATTCTGTCAGCAATCATTTGTCTCTTTTCTATCATTAACCTATGGTTATTTGCTTGTTCTCGTGCTGTCCTCCGTGGCTTTGGTGTCCAATTATCCTCTGGTATATGCTCTTGTATCTGTCCCATCAATTGCTCCAATACAATCCTATATGGTCAATATATTACAAAACTTTGTAATATATTACAAAATTCGACAATTTGGATTGCCATACCTTAAAATGTGGATCTCATCTTGGGTCCCCTGCAATTTTGGACGGGATATCCAAAAAAGGTGGCCGAATAAGCTCATTGCTTAGTTCCCCAATGGCATGTAGACTAGGTTGAAATATATGCTATCTGTCTCACCTGACCTAATGAATAGTCCAAACTAGCTTATTTCTTCGGTTGTGTCCGACTGTATTCAAGAACATGGCTACTTATTCCTCAATATTACATGGATAGCGTCATGGAACAAAGAGCGTTCAGGTAAAACTTGACAAAACTGAAAGAAAGGACATCTTTTAAGCCTTGTCATTGATGGGATGAGTCTCTGTGTTGGCTGGTCTTTGTGGGGCTGCAGCATATGGTGGCCTTGCTGCCCATCAAGGACAGCATCCTTGACTGGCTAGGACAGCATCTTAGCATGTTAGCATCTAGCATCTTGGCATATGCTTGGCTGACTAGCAGCCTATAAATATGTATCCCCAACCCCTCAGGTTGGCATGGCATTTGTGTGAGAAATAAACCAGAAAATTGCCCCAACTCCTAGTGTCATCCTCTCTCGATGAGAGTAAGAATTCTACTACTACCAAGAGTAAGAATTCAGCGACTAACAACCCAGTATCGAGCCAGTACTATCCTCAGAGCTTTTGAGCATCTCCTCGCTCATCTCCTTTCCCACCTCCAATAGCCCAGTGAGGGGAGCAGCGAGCCTCTCCACTCCTCCTCTCTCTCAAGACGAAGCTCAAGCAGCCTTCCCCACGCAGCAGCCCCCCCAGTAGCGCGTCATGTCCGCAGGCGATCTCGGCCTTCGGTCGCCTCGAGCACGCTTGGCGTCAGGAGGGCCGAACTTGCCGCGGCAGAGGAACGCGAAGAAGCGGCGGCAACAAGGGCGCCGAGGCAGGCAATAGGCGAGCTGGCAAAGCAGCCGGCGAGCGGAGGTGGATGCAAATATCGGCGGCGGCAGAGAGGAGGTCGAGGTTCGCATCAAGATCGCAGCCTCCGCTTTCTCGACGACGACAACGCTTCGCGACCTCGAGTCTGGGGAGGGAGGTATAGCAGCCTTGGCGGCGCGATGAAGGCACCACAAGACGCTTACGCCCACAGCTTGCGGCGGCCAGACAGTACTGACAAGGCCGGCGGCCCTAGAGGCGCCACGACGTGATGGCGCTCTGGAGGCGCGCCGCGCAACGGATGGCGGGCGGGTCGATGGAGAGCGCGCCTTCCACAGAGCGCTGGCTTTCTCTCCCCGTGATCGGTACCGCGGGTTACCATGGGCTCCAGTAATTGTCGGGGACGTCGGCCCCGGCGGTGGGTGGCCTACCTCACTAAGACCAACTACGCCGAGTGGGCTGCGGTGATGAGGGTAAAGCTCGAGTGCGGCACATGTGGGAGGCGGTCCCAAGACGGGCGACGCCGACCACGACCGGGATCGATGGGCGTTGATGCCCTCATCGCTGCAGCCCCGTCCGAGATGCGCTTCGCTACCAACAAGCGGATCGCCAAGGAGGCTTGGGGCGCCATCGCTCTACGACGGCAGCCATCAAGCGTCCGCAAGTCCACACTGCAGCACTTCGCAAGGAGTGGGAGAACTCGCCTTCAAGCCGGTGAGGATGTTGATGACTTTGCTCTCCGCCTCAACACTCTCGAAAGATGGTGCGCTTCGGCGATGACACCTACGGCAAGGAGAGAGCTGTCGAAAAGCTCTTCCGCTGCGTCCCCGAGAAGTATAAGCAGATGGCTCGCTCGAACAAGTCTCTATGGATCTCTCCATGATGTCGATCGAGGAGGCGATAGGTCGCCTCAAGGTCGTCGACAGCGATGAGCCACAGTCTCTCTCGGGACCCATCACCACTGGCGGGAAGCTCCTCACTCGGGAAAGCGAAAACGCCTGCCAAGGTGACCGGAAGAAGGGGGAGCCTTCTTCCGCGACAGGCGGCCGCAAGCGTGGCAAGCCGCGCAAGGCACGCAGAGACGCCCAGGCCGGGGCGCGAGGACGTGCCGAGGGTGATGCCCGCGAGGCGCCAGTGGCGGCGCCACCGCAAGCACAAGCCGAAGACGACATTCCACTACTCGCAGCAATGCAGCCGGCTTAGCCATTGGGCCAGGATCGTCGACACCACGACGCGGTCGACTCCCCGTTGCATAAGCGGAGGAGGAGCTGGCTCGTTTCATGGCACATGCAAGCATCGAAGCTACCTCCGGCGGCAAGCACCGCCATGCAACGCTCTCTCCACCTTGACGAGCCAAAAGCACACGCCTTCCTCGGCGACGGCTCCGCAACGACAAGATCGACGGTGGTGCCTCGACACCGCGCGCCACCCATCACATGACCGGTCGACGGGAGTTCTTCACCGAGCTTGACTCTAGCGTCCGAGGCTCCGTCAAGTTTGGGGATGCCTCCGGCGTGGAGATCAAGGGCGTTATTCCGCCATCTTCACTGCTGTGTCTGGTGAGCACAGTTGCTCACCGGAAGTCTACTACATCCCCGTTGAGGAACTCTATCATCGCCTTGGGACACCGGATGAGAACATTTGGCGGTGGTGGTTGAGGATGGAGTCATGAGGATTTGGGATCGCCGTCGCCGCCTTCTTGCCAAGGTAACCGTAAGCACAAATCGACTCACGTCCTTAACGCGGTGGCACAACCCTCTTTCTCGCCGCTTGTCGGGATGACGAGGCGTGGCGATGCACGAGCGCTTGAGCACCTTTTTCACTTCGAGGCCACAGGCGACTTCGGTGCCGCTGAGATGGTGCGAGGCTGCCCGTGCCTCGACCATGTGGAGCAGCTCTGCGACGTCTGCGTGTTGACGGCGAGACGACTCCCCTTTCCCCAACGGTGAGCTTTCGAGCCAAGGAGAGGCTCGAGCTTGTGCACCGGACTTGTGTGGCCCGATGACACCGGCCACACCGGGAGGACGACGCTACTTCCCACGCTTTCGTCGACGACCTCCCGCTACATGTGGGTGATGGTCCCTCGGCAACAAGGGAGGGTCATGATGCCATCAGCGCTAGCAGTTGTCACCCATAGGCGGAGCTTGCTCGAAAGTTGAGGTCGGCGCATAAAACGGCCTTTCACAAGGTGGAGGATTCGTCTGCAGATCAGCATATAGTGCATTCAAGATGTGCCTACTCAAACCCTGGGATGCTCTTTACAGCTCTTCATACAACCCGCACGGTTGTGGGGATGGCTCGGGCCCTTCTCAGCAGAGGGGATCAGGTTGTTTAGGGGAGGCGGTGGTTCGGCCGTCTACATCCTCAACCACTTTCGCCACCAAGGCGCCGACGGCGGCGGGGCGTCGTGCGAGGCTTATCATGGGCGCAAGCCAGTCGATCTCCCACTCGGGTCTTGGTCCTCCTGCGTTCGCCAAGGAGCTTGGCCACATCAAGGCTCGTTTACAGTAGCACTCGGAGTGTTCTCGGCACGCAGGGTTCGAAGGCCTACCGCATCCTCGACCAAGATCACACACCAATTTGTTCGCTTGGTTCGGCGAGACGAGATGGGCGTGGACAAGCGGTGGTTCGGCTCGGCTCCGGCAGTTGGTTCAACATTATCTGTTTCACTCAGGGAGTTGGGGCAGTATCGGTTTCTTCGACGAGCGCGTCTACCCCAAATCCCGAGCCTCCACCGTTTCCGACGCTCTACTCCAACACCACGCTGGCCAGACCTCGGCTTGAGTTCTTCAGCACCACCACGGTGACACCGCCACGCACTCAGCCACAGCACCTCTCCGCACGTCTACTCCAACACCACTTCGTGTCGAGCACACCAAGTTGAGCTCGCTATTCCGCCTCTCTCACGACGAGGAGCGCATCGACGCACTAATTTTTGCGAGCCGCTATGGTACCGTATGATGGAGAACCTTCTCGGCGACCGGCCGGTCAATCGGGACTAGTGCCTCACGACACGGAGGCGCAGCTTGCACCTTGCGTGGTCGAGCCTCGGTGTCAAAAGAGGCCGAGATCATGCGTAGCGCATAATATGCGCTGCAGATGGATGCGGTTGAGAAATCACTGCTACTGGAAGCTACTGACCTTCCTCGTGGTCATATGCGATCACCCTTAAGTGGGTGTACATCAAGAGGGATGAAGCCGGCGCCATCGTCAACCACAAGGCTCGCTTTGGCACGAGGTTTCGTCAGCTTCTCAATCTCGACTTCGACGACGCTTTGCTCCTGCGGGTAGCACGGATGGAGTCCATGCGACTCCTGTCTTACCGCCGTGAGGGTGGGCGTGTTCATCACATGGACGTCAAGTCGGCGTTCCTTAACGGCGACTTGAAGGAGGAGGTCTCATGCACCACCCGTGGGATTTACGATCCCCGGCAAGGAGAGCTTGCTCACTTTGCGCAAGGCCACTCGTGGTTTTAGTTCCAGGCGTGGAATGCCAAGTTGGATTCCACGCTAAAGGGATGGGTTTAACAAAGCCCGCGAGACATCTACCGTTGGACCAATAGAAATGCTTTCCAGGTGGGTGTCTCGTCGACGACTTAGTGATCACCGTTGGAT